CTTGTCTTTGTTAGTGGGAATTATGTTCTGGATGGGGCTCAGGATTCCACCTAAGGTCCTATACTCTGCAAAGGCTTTACAAGAAGCCTATTTCACTGGGCAAGTTCTAGAACCCCTTCTAGGTATTCCAATCAGTTATAGGCTGAAGATGGGTTTACAAGTTTTCTGCAATCATGTTTCCCAACATTCCATTCTATCCCGCTCAAGTGTCTATTTTATAATAGAAAGCAAGGGAAACCAATATTCACAAGACAGTCAACATCTTAGTTTATTTCCTCTCTTCAAACTATGCCTAGATCTATGTATCACAGAGCCCTGTTGTTCCAAGGTTGAGTATGCACCACTATTTACCTCTGTCCCACTTAGGACATGCAAACCTGTCTCAGTGTTCCCCTGTCTATCTTGTTCTTCTGCCTCCTCTCCCTTCTTGTATTGCCCTTCCCAACACCTGAACTCAACTCCCCACCCCAACCCCACTGTTGTGGTTACCTTATATTCCATTAACTCTTCCCTCCATTTAAGACAATCTATTTTATCCTGTAATCTACCTGACCTTCTCACCACCTGGATCTCTGGTCCTCTGTGTTGACCTTCTTTCACATTGTAATTGTTTTGATCATAGACTGACCTCCCAGATCCTTTGTTATTATAATTTTATTCTGTTCTTGACTGTTTTATTCCATTTGTTGATTGAGTTCAGGGTGATGCTGCCATGTATGTCATTCTCTGCTTGTTGTCTGCTGTTGTTGGTTCTCAGTCCACAGAACTTCCTTTAGGACGTTTTTCATAGCAGGGTTGGCTTTGGCAAAATCTCTTAGCTTCTGCTTATCCTGGAATGTTTTGATTACACCTTCGTATTTGATTGACAGATTTGCTGGGTAGAGGATTCTTGGTTGGAAGTTTTTTTCCTTCAGTGTTTTATATATGTCTCCACTTGCCTTGTTGCCTACATGGTTTCTGTTGAGAGACCAGAGCTTAATCTGATTTGCTTGCCTTTGTATGTTACACTTCTCTTTTCCCTAGCTGCTTTCAGAATTCTGTCCTTATCTTTGATTTTGGAGAGCTTGATTATGATATATCTTGGTGATTGTCTTTTAGGGTCTATCCTTCCTGGGGTTCGCTGAGCTTCTTGAATGCTTATCTTTTCGCTTTTCAGGATGTTAGGGAAATTTTCTTCCAGAAGTTCTTCAACTATCTCCTCTTTTGACTTGTGTGATCATTTCTGTTCCAGAATGCCAATAATTCTTAAGTTATTCCTCTTCATGTTTTCCATCATAAATCTTAATTAAGCCTTCTTCAAATTTTTAATCCTTTTTTTGGTGCTTGCTCTTCTATCTTAGTAGTGTAGAGAGATTTGTGTTCCAGTTCACTAGTTCTGGCTTCTATCTCTTCAATTCTACTCCTTTGCCCTTTCAGTGTATTGTCCATTTATGATATTCTATTATTAATTGTTTGGACCTCTTTCTGTAGGTTTTGAATTGTTTCCATTGCTGCATCTATCTTATTTAATTGTTCCTGTAGCACTTTCTTGACTTCTCCCTTATTTTCTCAACTCCATTGTATAGTGTTTTGATACATTTTATAATCATTTTTCTGAATTCTTTCTCATGCATTTCCAAAGCCTGCCCATCTTCCAGTATGGAGTGTAGGTCTACTTCCAGCTCATTTTCCTCAGGTACTTTATCTCGATTCTGGATATGTGCTGATATGGTCATCTGTTTCTGTTTTGGGGGGCATATTCAGGAGTTATCTGTGGCCTTAATAATTAGATGGTTGTGTATTTTGGTATTTTTTATGCTTTCTGATTGCCTTCCAGTAGATGTGATCAGGAGATGGGATTCCCTTTTCACTCTTCTTCCTGAGAAATTTCAAGATGCCACTATTGGTTGTTGTAACGTAACTCAGGATTTAATTTTTAGCCTATTTCCTTTTAAGTCTGTCTGTCCCACTCCACAATCTCAGTCAGGCCTTTTTCCTAGTGATAAACAGTTCCTGGCCGGCTGTGGCCATTTTGCACTGCCGTTTGGTTTTAAGTGGAAATTCTCATTTTAAATTTCGAGGCAATCTGTGCGTATGCATAGTAGAACCCTCCATGGGTTGGGGTTGGGTGTCCATTTGCTCAGGAACCCCCTCTTATCACCAGAATGGAGGTACACAGACAGCGAGAGACCAATAAACAGATACAAAAAAAAGAATGTCCACCTCTTTATCTCCGTGGTTCTGTCAGGTATCCGTGGCTGCTCTGATCCTTCCCTTGCTTGGTTTCTCCAAAGATGGTGGCTCCAGGAGCAGCTGAGTGTCTTGAATTAGAAAACAATGCATTTCTTGCTTCTGCTACAAATTCCCCTAGCTATAAGCCTTCCAATCTTCTAAATATTCCTTTATGTGTCATTCAGAGTTCTGGCACCATCCCCTGAGCCTGCTTGGTCTGATGTTCTGTGTTGTTGCTGACAGAGCTCCTCACTGCACTTCTACTGGATCTGCCATCTTGTTTGTTCTCAACACTCAGCTTTTAAATGAAAGGTTTCAGTTCAATCCACCAAACGCTCCAGGAGGAATGTTGTTGTCAGGTGCCATTAAGTCGGAACCAACTCATAGTGACCCCATGCACAGCAGAACGAAACAATGCCTGATCCTGGATCAACTTCATTACCGCTGCCACACTTGACGCCATCAATGATGCCACCTGGCCAGGAGGAATAGATGTAGTTTTCTGCTTCTATAAAGATTGTTGTTGTTGTTAAGTGCTATCGAGTTGGTTCCAGATCATAGTAATCTGTACAGAGTTTCCAAGGAAACCCACTCTCTGGGACAATTCTACACTGTCCTGTAGGAATGTTATGACAGGATCCCTTGACCAGAAGTTTCTCTGGAAAGGGATTTGGAGCAACCAACCTTTATGTAAGAATTCTGGTGGTGGACTAAATAAGAGGGACCTCACAAGTAATCTATCTGTACTTTAGAGATGATTAAAACGATGCTCCAGAAAGCTAAGAAAACGATTCTATGTATCCTTTTACAAATGTACTGAAAGGTGCTGTCAAAAAAAGAAAAGCTCACTGGTATCTTTGGGAGGGCAGTAACAGGCCAGTTGGACTAAAGTCTGCCACGTGACTTTTCTGCACCTTGATTTGTCACTTTGAAATGGCATAGTAATACCTGCTATGGCACATTGCTTCCCTTCCTCCACTATGGTACAGACTGACACAGCCCAGATTTGCTGATGGGCCAGTGTACAATAAAGGCCAATCGGCTGTCAGCTACATATCTGTGGGGGAGAGAGCTTTCTTCTGTTTTTCTTTCACCCAAAGGCTGAATTCCTAAAAAGAGTGTTCTAACTCTGAAAGATCTTCTAAATGAAGTGCCTGGCCAGAATAAGGCTCTCAATAATGAAGGATGTAATTCTTACAAACTCCCTAGTGCACATTATACTAAACTCACTAAGTTTGTAACAAACACAAAAAGACAAACTTGTAGTTATTGGCAATTCTTATTATACTCCATGTACATTTATTCCTAAGTCCTGGTGTAGTGCCATAGGATAAACACTCGACCTCAAGGTTGATTTGAACTGGAAGGTTGGTGGTTCAAACTCACCAGCTGATCCTCAGAAACCCTATGGTAGTGGCAGTGGCGGTGGTGGTGTGCCATAGAGTCGTTTGGACTCATAGCAAGCTTGTACAGGGTTTCCGAGGCTGTAAAGCTTTACCGGAGCAGAAAGCCTCATCTTTCTCCCGTGGAACCGGTGGTGGTTTCGAACTGCTGATCTTGAGGTTAGCAGCCCAACTCGTAATCACTACACTACCAGAGCTCCTCAGAAACTATACAGGGTCGCTAACTTAACAACAACAGCACATTTATTATTAGGAATCCTGGTGTCGTGCTGTAGGATAAGCACTGGACTGTTAAGCCGAAGGTCGGGGGTTCAAATCCATTAGCCACTAAGTCAGTCGCTATGAATGGAACTGACTTAACGGCACTTAATGAAATCAACAGCTATCTTAACTGTCTTGGGTTCTACTGGATAAAATTTGTAAATGCTGCTAGGATACAAAGATAACTCGATTATTTATAGCTCTGGTAAAGATTACTGCAATTGTTATTTATGGATTCTGCACACCACTAGGGGAAAATACAGAGAAGCGTCACTGGAACTATTAAGTTACAAAATACTTTGAGTAGGAAACAATGATTTCCTTGATTAAGATTTTTTATTACTGCATTCAAACGCAGAATGCTGCTGCTTCTTTACCAAGGAAGAAAACATGTATTTTTTACTATCAAACCATTTTCTTCTTCCAGAAACTCCAAAGCAGTGTTCTGTCTCAATGCTACTAGTCAGTCATCCCACCTGGGCCTTGGGTTGACACTTACTGGCTCCAGCTCTCCCCTCTGAGATCATTCTCAGTAAGAGAAGCACAGCTCTACAATATAATCCAGATAGACCCCTCTTGGCTGGAAGTTCTTCTTTGAAGTTGTTCAACACCTGGTATATTGGGCGGCGGGGCTGAACCCTGATTGGGCAGATGAGGTCACACCCATCGGGGGGATTTTTAAAAACGCTAACGCTTAGTGACACCCCAGACCAATTTAATCAGGTTCCCTGGGGATCAGACCCAGACAATAAAAAACACGAATGCATTTTTTAAAGCTCCCGGGGTAATTCTAAGGAGACAACAGAAGACCTTGGGGAGGGGTGGGAAACGCCGCGACGGCCACGTGACTAGCCAAGACGCCGCCGAGAACCCGCCTCTGCCGTCATACGTCCTTGCGCACGCGCGCACGGGGCCACGGCCGGCCCAAGTGCGCGAGCGCGCGCGAGCTCTAGACTCTAAGACTGCTCCGCCTCCCGTAGGCGCTCTTTGAAGGTACCGGTTCCTACGAGAGCGGGCCAGCCGGGAAGGAGGTGTAGGCATGGACCCGGCGACGGCCGCCTAGACCCGGGCTTACGCTGCCTCCTAGAGAGCACCGAAGTCTCCGTGGGACCCGGCGCAGAGTGGATGGCCCTGCTCCCTCAGCCCCGGTGGATGCTTGCCTTCCTGATCCTCCTTCTGGCCGCAGTACTCAGGTGCTAAGAAGAGGCCCAGACCACCAACTGGAAGGCTACCCTTAAGACCATCCGGAACGGCGTGCACAAGATAAGACACGTACCTGAACGCCGCCTTGGACCTCTTGGGAGGCGAAGACGGGCTTTGCCAATATAAGTGCAGTGACGGTGAGAATTCAGGGGTATTGGGGTGATTGAGGTCGTGGAGGTGTGAGAGTGACAGATGTAAGGCAGATCTTGACGCTGCCCTTTGGCGGTGGAAAAAATTACCCAACGGGTAGCATCCATTCCTGTTGTTACAAGTTACACCATTGCTAGAATCTGGGGATGCCGCCTTAGTGTGTACTCCCCATTGCGTTTTCATTGCTTATGAATTACCTTTAAAAAAATAAAAATAAATATATATATATATAAAGTGACGAAGGAATCCTCGCCATGGAATGAAACAAGCTGCTTATTTTAGCGCTCAGTTTTTAATGTTGTGAATCAACTGAACATGCAAAAAGCAAGCCTAGATTTTTAAAGTCAGGCCATTTTAACTTAGGAGGGGAGATAAAAAGGTTTTCAATGTTTTCTCTGCAAAGCTAATGAATAGAAATGGAAACTTTTATACAGACTTTTGGTACGCTCAATTGTTGAGAAAGTTAACTTTTCTAGAAAATAGTTGATCATATTTGAAAGAATTTTTTTTGGGGATTTATGAGCCACTCCTTTGGTTGGTTAATAGTTTTCATTTACTCTTTTCACACTTTTTTTTTTTTTTTTTTTAACATTACCTCTTAGAATCTGAGAACTTGAGAACTTGTGTGGTGGCAGTGTTAAGTAATAATAACAGTATTTCAGGACGGGATCATTTTTGTTGAAACACTTAATTTTTGAATGCTTAAGTATGTTAATGGTGCAGATCCAAGTACTTGGAGTTCTCTCTGGAAGTTCAAAATGGTAAGGCAGACCTTGGGAGAGCATGTTTCTAATAAGATGAGTCAGGTCTGTTGTTGTTAGGCGCCCTTTCGATTTCATTCTGCTCTTAGCTACCCTGTGTACAACAAAATGAAACATTGCCTCATCCTGCACCAGCTTCCATCGTTACTGTGTTTGAACCCATTGCTGCAGTCACTGTGTCAATCTGTCTCCTTGAGGATTTTGCTCTTTTTTGCTGACCCCTCTGCTAAGTATGATGTCCTGCTCCAGAAACTCCTTACTCCCTCCTGATAACATTTCCAAACTATGTGAGACAGTCTTGTCATCCTCATTCTAAGGAGAGTTTATTCTGGCGGTACTTCTTCCCTAATCATTTGTTCTGGCACTCAGTGTTAGGTTCAGTATCCTCAGTCAACACCATAATTCAAAGGAATCATTTATTTGGTCTTCTTTTTTCACTGTCTAGCTTTCACTTGCATATTGAGGTGATTGAAAATACCATGGCTTGGGTTGTTGTTAGTGCCATCAAGTCTGTTCCAACTATAGTGACCCTGTGTAGGGTTTACAAGGAGTGGCTGTTGAGTTTGAATCGCTGATCTTGTGGTTCAAACTGACCTTGCAGTCCAGTGCTTTATCTCAGCGCCACAGATTTGCCTAATGTAAAGCACTGTTTTGATGTCTTGACTACTGAGTCCCTGAGTGTTGATTGTGGATTCAAGTAAAATGAAATCCTTGAAAGTGTCAATCTTCTCTGTTTATCATGCTGCTTATTGGTCCAGTTGTGAGGATTTTTATTTTCTTTGTGTTAAGGTGTTCTGAAGGCTGTTGTCTGGGATCTTCATCAGTTAGTGCTTCAAGCCTTCTTCAGTTTTAGCAAGAAGTGTTGTATCATCTGCATATTGTAAGTGGCTAATGAGTCTTCCTTCAATTCTAATTCCTTGTTTTTCAGAGTTCAGTGTCTTGGATTATTTGCTCAGCATACACAAGTATGATGAAAGATTACAACCCTGATTTCAAACCACACAGTATCCCTTTGTTCTGGTCAAACAACTGCCTTTTGTTCTATGCCCAGGTCCTAGATGAGCATAATCAAGTGTCCTGTAATTTCCATCCTTCACAATGTTACCCATAATTTGTTATGATTTACACAATCCAATGCCTTTACATAGTCAATAAAACACATGTAGACATCTTTTTGATATTTCTTGCTTTCAGCCTAGATCTATCTTGCATCAGCAATAATATCCTTTATTCCACATCCTCTTCTGACTCTGGCTTGTCATCTCACAACTCACCTCAGCTTTGCTTATTAGATCTGCTCTTGAGCTGATCTTTATTTTCAGGTGGAATATACTCAAGGTCATACTTTAGCTCTTATGGACTTGTTTTACTTTTTTCCAGCTTCAACTTGAACTTGCATGTGAATAATTGATAGCTTGTTCCACAGTGGCCCGCCCCTGGCATTGATCTATTGATATTGAATGTCTCCATCGTTTCTTTCTACAGATGTAGTTGATTTTATTGTTGAAAAAGGTATTTTCAATGAATAAATCATTAGAAAAAAAAAATTGTGCTCTCTGGTGTCATTTTTCTAGTTACCAGTCCTTTAAGGCACTCTGGTAGTGTAGTAGTTACAAATCGGGTTTCAAACATTAAGGCCAGTAGTTCGAAACTACCAGCTCTTCATGGGAGAAAGAGGAGGCTTTCTGCTCCGTAAAGATTTACAGCCTTGGAAACTCTGTATAGGGTTGCTATGAGTTGGAACCCACTCCACAGCACATTACGACAATGTTGAGTCCTTCATTGTTTCTGACTGTAGCATTCCAATTACTAGTTGTTGTTGTTGTCAAGTGCCGTTGAGTCAATTCTGACCCATAACAACCCTGTATACGGTTTCCAAGGAGCAGCTGGTGAGCTTGAACTGTCAACCTTGCATTTCCATCCTTATATTGGCACATTAACCCACAGCACTACACCAGTTGTTAGTTATGCCACCCCAATTGCATGTTTGATCCATTTCACACATTAGAAGTTGGTAATAATCTTTCATTTCTCATCTTTGACATTAGTGCTTGATGTGCAAATTTGAATAATAGTTATACTAATTGGTCTTCCTTGTAAATGCTTGGCTAGTATCCTGTTTTGAAAGCATTGTACTTCAGGATAGATCTTGAAATGTTCTTTTTCACAATGAATGTGATGCTTCAATTTGCCATTCCCCGCAGAGTAGGCCATATGACTATCTGATTCAAAATGGCCAATCACTGCAGTCCGTTTCAGCTCACTGTTGTTGTTATTAAGTGCCATTGAGTCTTTCCGACTCATAGCAACCCTGGATAGGGTTTCCAGGAAGCGGCTGGTCGGTTTAAATTGCGGACCTTGTGGTTAGCAGTTAATCCACCAGTGCCACACCAGGGTTCATTTAACTCACTAATGTTTATGATATCGATCTTTATACATTCCATTTCATTTTTGACAACTTAAACTTTCTTGATCATATTTCATACCGATAAAGGAGCTCTGGTAGCGTAGTGGTTACGAATCAGGCTGCAAACCACAAGGTCAGCAGTTCGAAACTACCAGCTGCTCCACAGGAGAAAGATGAGGCTTTCTGCTCCCGTAAAGATTTACAGCCTCGGAAACCCTGTTTAGGGTCGCTGTGGGTCGGAACCGACTCGACGGCACTTAACAACAACAACTTCTACTTTTGAGTTGTGGCACATCAGCAAATGAAGGTCCTGAAAGCTTTACTTCATCCATGTCATTAAGGTCGCCTCTACTTTTAAGAGCGCTCAGATGTATTTTGAGAACCTCCCTATCTGAGAGGCGCATCTTCCAGCACTCTATCAAACAGTGTTCTGCTGATGTTTCTAAGGCATTCACTGTCCAGTTTTCTCAGAAGTAGATCACCAGTTTCACCTTAGTTAGCCTCAGTCTGCCAGCGCTAATGAAACCTGTCCACTGTGGGTAAGCCTGCTTGTATCTTGTATAACTTCCACACTCAAACAACAACTTATTGCTGTTTATTGAGTTGGTTCTGACTCATAGTTACCCTGTGCTCAACAGCACTAACCACGGCCTGTTCCTATGCCATCCTCACAATTGTCATATTTGAGCCGATTGTTGCAACCATTGTGTTAGTTCATCTTGTTGGGGGGTTTCCTCTTTTTTGCAGACTCTCTACTTTGCCAGACATGATATCCTTTTCCAGGAACTAGTCTCTCCTGATAATATGTCCAAGAATGTGAGACAAAGTCTCATCATCCTTACTTCCTAAAGGCATTCTGGCTGTACTTCTTCCAAGAAGTTTTTTTGGCAGTCCATGGTACTTTCAGTATTTGTCACCAACAATGGGCTGCTAACCACAAGGTCAGCAGTTTAAACCCACCAGCTATTATGCAGGGTCACTGAGTTGGAACCAACAAGATGACACTGAACAACAAGAACAGCAACACCATACTTCAAATGTATGGACTCTTCTGTGCTCTTCCTTATTCATTGTCCAACTTTCACAGCATATGAGTAGATTGAAAACACTATGGCTTTCGTCAGGTACACTGAAGTCCTCGGAAACCCTATACAGGGTTGCTATGGGTCGGAATCGACTCGATGGCACTTCATAACAGCAACAATGAGACTGAGACAAGTGTATTACGGAGAGAACTTGTCTGCAGTCATCCATGATCACAGAGACGTTCTGTTTGGGAAAACCCTGTGCATGTGTGAGCTGGCACCCTAGTAGCAATACTCTTTACTGTCCTTTGTATGTATGCATGCATGTATCACTGTCATGTTGATGTCCTGGAGTGCTGTAGGATAAACAGTGGACTGCTAACCATAAGGTCTGCAGTTTAAACCCATCAGTTGTTCCTTGGAAACTCTGTATAGGTCACTGAGAGTCGGAATTGATTCTGCGGCCCTTAACAACAGCATCACTGCCATTACACAACAATCAACAAACATATCATGGAGTTACTCTTTGGCTGTTTGATGATGCATGCAGGGAATTGTAATCATTGCAATGCAATGAAATATGATAGGATGAATGTAAAACCAATGTTCTCCCATGTAAACTATCACATAATTCACAATAAAAACTTAAAAAAAAAAATTATGGAGTGTCTTAGACTGGAAATATAAGAAGGGCTATAAGGAGATCTGGTAGCGTAGTGGTTACAAATCGGGCCGTGAACCTAAAGGTCAGCAGTTCGAAACTACCAGCTGCTTCGCAGTAGAAAGATAGGCAT